CAATGTGGATTGCCTCTTCCCAATAAGAAATTTTAATTTACATGTTAGCCACGGTTTGTCGCACGCCAGAGTTTCATCCATCATGCATAACCTCAGCAACCAACCTGTCTTATATTTTCTCAAACTTATTTGCGCATTTTAACCCTTTCTCATCCAGAAAAAGTTTGGGAAAAATTTTTGGGACCCTTTATTTTTACAGGAAAACTTTGACTTCCCCCACAAACATTTTTGGGGGTGCAAACTTTTGAGTTCACTAACCCAGCCCACTCCAACCACATATCGGTCAGCACGTCAGTGTCTGAACAGTGTGACAGTCAGTGTGACAAAGAGTATTTGGGTCAGTCTAAACGCCAGTTTGGTACACGGCTAAAAAAACATCAAAAGGCTGTTTCAACTTTAGACAAGGGAAAATCAGCTTTAGCCGAACATGTATGTTACACCAAACACGAGATTGCGTGGGAAAACTCTAAAGTAATTACCACAAACAATCGCTATGGTCAAAGACTTTGCCTAGAAGCGTGGCATATAATTATGAGTCATCATGCTTTGAATAGGGATGACGGCGCCTATTTGCCAGAGGAATATATGCATCTTCTTGGCAGGTGACGTCATCCCTTGGGTATTTTTAAATTGTGGCTGATTCATTCATTAATTTATCACAAATAGGTAATCTAAACAACATGCAACCATCTTGAAAAATAGATTGTAAATGCAATAATTTGATTTCAGCTAATTTGTAAGCTTTTTTGTTTTTACAACTTATTTGTCAAAAGAATATTCGATTTGGTGCTACATTTGATGTGCTTTGCACAATCTGTCCAAAACTTATGCCCTGCACTAAAGGCTGGCCAATTTGAACCAGAAGATGGATTCCGATTACACGTGGGATCTGTTCTCGACACGCTCACAAATTCTGCAAGGGCACAGTCCTCTGCTTCAGTTCAATTGTGCCGTTTTACAGTGGATTTTGCTTCGAGGAATTTCAACGGTTTAGGAGAAGTACAAACCCTTGCCTGCGGCATCTAAAAGCAAAATTAATCTAATGTCTAATGAAGCGTATATCATTTTAAATTTGAAACATCTTCAAGCGCAGCATGTCCAAAGTAAGTAGTAAAATGTCAGAGACACTTTGTTTTGCACTTCACAGAAGAGGCTATAAAGCATCGTTTCTTTCTTGTTGGCTTTAGAGATGCAATCGTTTGTTTATTCCGCCGGGCCCGAGTATTATCTTCGTCACTTGGGATTATTGATTCCTTTTATAAAACACACAATAGTACATGATTTATGTGACGTGCTTCGTAGAAAATGTAAACAGTGATAATCAATTAACAATGCGAAGCACGTTACATCGAAATGGCGCGTCTTGGCGCCATCAGAAGGTCTGCCGTCGTGACATGGCGCCAGCCGGCGAAAATTGAAAAGTATCAAATTTCAAATCCATTTTCTGGACTTGGTTGCAGAGCAACGAGATCAAATTTGGCATTAAAAAAGCGGAATTTATCTTCTTCGTATTGAGAGCTTCTTTTGTATTTTTTATTTAATATTATGATGAAAACGTTTATGATGTTTAAAGGCAAATATACGCACAATGTACACAAACACGATTTAGCATGTGTGATTAAGCAAGAAATAGAATATTAGCCTTTTTAGGAGATGATAAATGTCAACCCCTACAGGGTAAAGCGCTTCGACCATTAAATACTACGTATTCGCGTTCGTAAGTACATTTTTTAATAGAAGGAAAACATATGAAATATAAATACAACTTTACCGAAAATTAAAAATTGACAATTTTGAACCGATTTCGTGGTTGTTTTATTCCTGGAGCAAGAAATAAATTGCAATTGTTTTTGCAATAAATTAAAGCTCAATGTTTGCTTCTTCAACGAAGGTATTAACCTTTTTTGTTGTATTCGTATTAAATCAAATATATGTAAGTGATCACAAGTCATTTTCCAGCCGTGATCACTGGTCCGTGAAAGCACTATAAAGCCACATCTTTGTTCTTGTCGAAACAATTATAAAAGAAGAAAAATAATAAAATCATATATTACAATTTTTTTTAAATCATATAAAAAGCTTGCCTTTTTGAACACAATTTATTCAAGGTGCTAATACAAACAAAATTCTGTTATTTTATTGTTTAACTGACGCGCCCGAGGAGAAAAGAAAATTTGAGCGCAATACATTATGGAAAAACGTTCGCTACTCCTTTGGCTGGGTCTGCTGTGCTGTTGGATTTTGTTGGTTCTGTTGGATTTTGTTGGGTCTGTTGGATTTTGTTGTGTCTGTTGTGCTGTTGAGTTTTGTTGGGTCTGTTAGGTTTTGCTGTGCTGTGCTGTGCTGTGCTGTTGGGTTTTGTTGGGTCTGTTGTGCGGTTGGGTTTCGCTGTGCTGTTGGATTTTGTTGGATTTTGTTGGGTTTTGTTGGGATTTGTTGGGTTTTGTTGGGTCTGTTGAGTTTTGTTGAGTCTGTTGTGCTGTGGGTTTTGTTGGGTCTGTTGGGTTTTGCTGTGCTGTTGGGTTTTACTGGGTCTGTTGGGTTTTGTTGGGTCTGTTGTGCTGTTGGGTTTTGTTGGGTCTGTTGGGTTTTCCTGTGCTCTTGGGTTTTGTTGGGTCTGTTGAGTTTTGTTGGGATTTGCTGTGCTGTTGGGTTTTGTTGGGTTTGTTAGGTTTGTTGCGCTGTTGGGTTTTGTTGGGTCTGTTAGGTTTTGCTGTGCTGTTGGGTCTGTTGTGTTGTTGGGTTTTGTTGGGTTTTGCTGTGCTGTTGGGTTTTGTTGGGTCTGTTGGGTTTGTTGGGTTGTTGCAAACCCAACAACACCCAACAGCACAGGCTGTGCTGTTGGGTTTTGTTGGGTTTGTTGTGCTGTTCGGTCTGTTGTGCTGTTGGGTTTTGTTGTGTTGTGTTGTGTTGTGTTGTGTTGTGTTGTGTTGTGTTTTGCTGTGCTGTTGGATTTTGTTGGGTTTTGATGTGCTGTTAGGTTTTGTTGAGTTTTGATGTGCTGCATGTTGGGTTTTCTTAGGTTTTGCTGTGCTGTTGGGTTTTGTTGTGTATGTTGTGCTGTTGGGTTTATTGGGTTTTGCTGTGCTGTGCTGTTGGGTTTTGTTGTGTTTGTTGTGCTGTTGGGTTTGTTTGATTTTGCTGTGCTGTTGGGTTTTGTTAAGTTTGTTGTGCTGTTGGGTTTTGTTGGGTCTGTTGTGCTGTTGGGTCTGTTGTGCTGTTGGGTTTTGTTGGGTCTGTTGGGGTTTGCTGTGCTGTGCTGTAGGGTTTTGTTGGGTCTGTTGAGTTTTGTTGAGTTTTGCTGTGCTGTTGGGTTTTGTTGGGTTTGTTGCGCTGTTGGGTTTTGTTGGGTCTGTTAGGTTTTGCTGTGTTGTTGGGTTTTGATGGGTCTGTTTGTACTGTTGGGTCTGTTGTGCTGTTGGGTCTGTTGTGCTGTTGGGCTTTGTTGGGTTTTGCTGTGCTGTTGGGTTTTGTTGGGTCTGTTGGGTTTGTTGGGGCCTGCTAGGTTTTGCTGTGCTGTTGGGTTTTGTTGGGTTTTGTTGTGTTGTGTTGTGTTGTGTTATGTTGTGTTGTGTTGTGTTGCGTTGCGTTGCGTTGTGTTGTGTTGTGTTTTGTTTTGCTGTGCTGTTGGATTTTGTTGGGTTTTGATGTGCTGTTAGGTTTTGTTGAGTTTTGCTGTGCTGCATGTTGGGTTTTCTTAGATTTTGCTGTGTTGTTGGGTTTTGTAGTGTTTGTTGTGCTGTTGGGTTTGTTGGGTTTTGCTGTGCTGTTGGGTTTTGTTGTGTTTGTTGTGCTGTTGGGCTTGTTGGGTTTTGCTGTGCTGTTGGGTTTTGTTGTGTTTGATGTGCTGTTGGGTTTTGTTATGTTTGTTGTGCTGTTGGGTTTTGTTGGGTCTGATGTGCTGTTGGATTTTGTTGGGTTTTGATGTGCTGTTAGGTTTTGTTGAGTTTTGCTGTGCTGCATGTTGGGTTTTCTTAGGTTTTGCTGTGCTGTTGGGTTTTGTTGTGTATGTTGTGCTGTTGGGTTTATTGGGTTTTGCTGTGCTGTGCTGTTGGGTTTTGTTGTGTTTGTTGTGCTGTTGGGTTTGTTTGATTTTGCTGTGCTGTTGGGTTTTGTTGTGTTTGTTGTGCTGTTGGGTTTTGTTGGGTCTGTTGGGTTTGTTGGAGCCTGCTAGGTTTTGCTGTGCTGTTGGGTTTTGTTGGGTTTTGTTGTGTTGTGTTGCGTTGCGTTGCGTTGTGTTGTGTTGTGTTGTGTTGTGTTGTGTTTTGTTTTGCTGTGCTGTTGGATTTTGTTGGGTTTTGATGTGCTGTTAGGTTTTGTTGAGTTTTGCTGTGCTGCATGTTGGGTTTTCTTAGATTTTGCTGTGTTGTTGGGTTTTGTAGTGTTTGTTGTGCTGTTGGATTTGTTGGGTTTTGCTGTGCTGTTGGGTTTTGTTGTGTTTGATGTGCTGTTGGGTTTTGTTATGTTTGTTGTGCTGTTGGGTTTTTTTGGGTCTGATGTGCTTTTGGATTTTGTTGGGTTTTGATGTGCTGTTAGGTTTTGTTGAGTTTTGCTGTGCTGCATGTTGGGTTTTCTTAGGTTTTGCTGTGCTGTTGGGTTTTGTTGTGTATGTTGTGCTGTTGGGTTTATTGGGTTTTGCTGTGCTGTGCTGTTGGGTTTTGTTGGGTTTGTTGTGCTGTTGGGTTTGTTTGATTTTGCTGTGCTGTTGGGTTTTGTTAAGTTTGTTGTGCGGTTGGGTTTTGTTGGGTCTGTTGTGCTGTTGGGTCTGTTGTGCTGTTGGGTTTTGTTGGGTCTGTTGGGGTTTGCTGTGCTGTGCTGTGCTGTGCTGTGCTGTAGGGTTTTGTTGGGTCTGTTAGGTTTTGCTGTGTTGTTGGGTTTTGATGGGTCTGTTTGTGCTGTTGGGTCTGTTGTGCTGTTGGGTCTGTTGTGCTGTTGGGCTTTGTTGGGTTTTGCTGTGCTGTTGGGTTTTGTTGGGTCTGTTGGGTTTGTTGGGGCCTGCTAGGTTTTGCTGTGCTGTTGGGTTTTGTTGGGTTTTGTTGTGTTGTGTTGTGTTGTGTTTTGTTTTGCTGTGCTGTTGGATTTTGTTGGGTTTTGATGTGCTGTTAGGTTTTGTTGAGTTTTGCTGTGCTGCATGTTGGGTTTTCTTAGATTTTGCTGTGTTGTTGGGTTTTGTAGTGTTTGTTGTGCTGTTGGGTTTGTTGGGTTTTGCTGTGCTGTTGGGTTTTGTTGTGTTTGTTGTGCTGTTCGGTTTGTTATGTTTGTTGTGCTGTTGGGTTTTGTTGGGTCTGATGTGCTGTTGGATTTTGTTGGGTTTTGATGTGCTGTTAGGTTTTGTTGAGTTTTGCTGTGCTGCATGTTGGGTTTTCTTAGGTTTTGCTGTGCTGTTGGGTTTTGTTGTGTATGTTGTGCTGTTGGGTTTATTGGGTTTTGCTGTGCTGTGCTGTTGGGTTTTGTTGTGTTTGTTGTGCTGTTGGGTTTGTTTGATTTTGCTGTGCTGTTGGGTTTTGTTGTGTTTGTTGTGCTGTTGGGTTTTGTTGGGTCTGTTGGGTTTGTTGGAGCCTGCTAGGTTTTGCTGTGCTGTTGGGTTTTGTTGGGTTTTGTTGTGTTGTGTTGCGTTGCGTTGCGTTGTGTTGTGTTGTGTTGTGTTGTGTTGTGTTTTGTTTTGCTGTGCTGTTGGATTTTGTTGGGTTTTGATGTGCTGTTAGGTTTTGTTGAGTTTTGCTGTGCTGCATGTTGGGTTTTCTTAGATTTTGCTGTGTTGTTGGGTTTTGTAGTGTTTGTTGTGCTGTTGGATTTGTTGGGTTTTGCTGTGCTGTTGGGTTTTGTTGTGTTTGATGTGCTGTTGGGTTTTGTTATGTTTGTTGTGCTGTTGGGTTTTGTTGGGTCTGATGTGCTGTTGGATTTTGTTGGATTTTGTTGTGTTTTGCTGTGCTGTTGGATTTTGTTGGGTTTTGATGTGCTGTTAGGTTTTGTTGAGTTTTGCTGTGCTGCATGTTGGGTTTTCCTAGGTTTTGCTGTGCTGTGCTGTTGTGTTTTGTTGTGTTTGTTGTGCTGTTGGGTTTTAATGTGCTGTTGGGTTTTGCTGTGCTGTTGGGTTTTGTTGTGGTTTTTTGTGCTGTTTTGTTTTGTTGGGTTTTGCTGTGCTGTTGGGTTTTGTTGCGTTTGTTGTGTTGTTGGGTTTGTTGGGTTTTGCTGTGCTGTTGGGTTCTGTTGGGTTTTGTTGAGGTTTGCAGTGCTGTTGTGTTTGTTGTGCTGTTGGGGTTTTTTTGGGTCTTATGGGTTTTGCTGTGCTGTCGGGTTTGGCTGAGTCTGTTGTGCTGTTTGGTTTGTTGGATCGGTTGGGTTTGTTGGATCTGTTGGGTTTGTTGGATCTGTTGGGTTTGTTAGCCCTGTTGGGTTTGTTTGATCTGTTGGGTTTGTTTGGGTCTGTTGGTATTTTGAAGATTTGTGTAGGGGGACAAGCATCACGGCCGTGGCCCCCTGAAAATTGGAAAATGTTGGCGACGGGGGGAAGGGATTTGCAAACACTAGTTTAAGATAATGGGGGAGGGGGGGTTAAAAGTACTTTTCACACGTTTTTCTACCTCAATATTTTAGAAAATTCATTATTATTTAACACGTTCCGCAATTCTAGCATTCCGGGGCCCCCTTTGGGCAAGTTGGACCACTTTTCCTGACATTTATTTGGGGTGTGTTATACCCCTTCCCTCCCAGTAGTTTTGGCCCTAGACAATCTAACTGATAGTATTAAGTTCAAGGCATACGTGAATTACTTGTAATAAGATTCTGGAATAACTAATTAAGCTTTGGGTTTTGTTGTGCCAAGTGAAAACCCAACGCTTTTTTAAGTTCATACAAATTAATCTTCCATGCTCAACAGATGGATGTCGCGATTTATCCAACTAATCTGTTCCTAAACGACTTCGTTTCAGAGAGATCAAGAAAAAGGGGTTAAAGATGAGGTAATTCAATGGCTTCCAAAAGGAACATAGCAGAATACGACCACAACCAAACAGGTTTGGAAATAAGCACTGCTTTTGACGATCAGTTGGGAATAGCAAGTAAGAACGCCAATTTGGGTAATGCCTATCTTAGTTTAGGAGAATATCAGAAAGCCATTGACCATTACAAAACTGGTTTAGAAAGAAGCACTGCTATTGGCGACCCGTCAGGAATAGCAAGTAACAATGGCAATTTGGGCAATGCCTATCTTAGCTTAGGAGATTATCAGAAAGCCATCGACCATTACAAAACAAGTTTAGAAATAAGCACTGCTATTGGCGACCTGTCAGGAATAGCAAATAACAATGCCAATTTGGGTAATGCCTATCTGAGTTTAGGAGAATATCGGAAAGCCATTGACCATTACAAAACAGGTTTAGAAATAAGCACTGCTATTGGCGATCGGTCAGGACTAGCAAGTAACAATCGCAATTTGGGCGTTGCCTATCGACGTTTAGGGGAATATGAGAAAGCCATTGACCATTACAATATAGGTTTAAAAATAAGCACTGCTACTGGCGATCGGTCAGGAATGGCAAGTAGCAATGGCAATTTGGGCAATGCCTATCTTAGTTTAGGAGAATATCAGAAAGCCATTGACCATTACAAAACAGGTTTAAAAATAAACACTGCTATTGGCGATCGGACAGCAATGGCAAGTGACAATGGCGCTTTGGCTACTGCTTATCTTAGTTTAAGAGAATATCAGAAAGCCATTCACCATTCCAAAACAGGTTTAAAAATAAGCACTGCCATTGGCGATCGGTCAGGAATAGCAAGTAACAATGGCAATTTGGGCATTGCCTATCTTAGTTTAGGAGAATATCAGAAAGCCATTGACCATTGCAAAACAGGTTTAAAAATAAGCACTGCTATTGGAGATCGGTCAGAAATAACAAGAAACAATAGCAATTTGGGCAATGCCTATCAACGTTTAGGAGAATATCAGAAAGCCATTGACCATTACAAAACAGGTTTAGAAATGAGCACTGCTATTGGCAATCGGTCAGGAATAGCATATAACAATGGCAATTTGGGCACTGCCTATCTTGGTTTAGGAGAATATCAGAAAGCCATTGACCATTACAAAACAAGTTTAGAAATAAGCACTGCTATTGGCGATCGGTCAGCAATAGCATGTAACAATGGCAATTTGGGCAATGCCTATCGATGTTTAGGAGAATATCAGAAAGCCATTGACCATTGCAAAACGGGTTTAGAAATGAGCACTGCTATTGGCGATCGGTCAGGAATAGCAAGTAACAATAGCAATTTGGGCAATGCCTATCAACGTTTAGGAGAATATCGGAAAGCCATTGACCATTACAAAACAGGTTTAGAAATAAGCACTGCTATTGGCGATCGGTCAGGAATAGCAAATAACCATAGCTTTTTGGGTATTGCCTATGTTTGTTTAGGAGAATGTCAGAAAGCCATTGACCATTTCAAAACAGGTTTAGAAATAAGCACTGCTATTGGCGATCGGTCAGGAATAGCAAGTAACAATGGCAATTTGGGCGATGCCTATCTTAGTATGGGAGAATATCAGAAAGCCATTGACCATTACAAAACAGGTTTAAAAATAAGCACTGCTATTGGCGACCCGTCATTAATAGCAAGTAACAATGGCAGTTTGGGCAATGTCTATCAACATTTAGGAGAATATCAGAAAGCTATTGACCATTACAAAAGAGATTTAGAAATAAGCACTGCTATTGGTGATCGGTCAGGAATGGCAAGTAAGAATGGCAATTTGGGCAATGCCTATCTTAGTTTAGGAGAATATCAGAAAGCCATTGACCATTACAAAACAGGTTTAGAAGTAAGCACTGTTATTGGCGATCGGTCAGGAATAGCAAGTCAGAATTGCAATTTGGGCAATGCCTATCGACGTTTAGGAAAATATCAGAAAGCCATTGACCATTACAAAACAAGTTTAGAAATATACACTGCTATTGACGATCGGTTAGGAATAGCAAGTAACAATTGCAATTTGGGCAATGTCTATCGATGTTTAGGAGAATATCAAAAAGCCATTGACTATCACAAAACAGGTTTAGGGATAAGCACTGCTATTGGCGATCAGTCAGGAATAGCAAATAACAATGGCAATTTGGCCAATGCCTATCTTGGTTTAGGAGAATATCAGAAGGCCATTGGCCATTCGAAAGCAGGTTTAGAAATAAGCACTGCTATTGGCGATCGGTCAGGAATAGCAAGTAACAATGGCAATTTGGGCAATGCCTATCTACGTTTAGGAGAATATCAGAAAGCCATTGCCCATTACGAAACAGGTTTAGAAATAAGCACTGCTATTGGCGATCAGTCAGGAATGGCAAATAACAATGGCAATTTGGCCAATGCCTATTTAAGTTTAGGAAAATATCAGAAAGCCATTGACCATTCGAAAGCAGGTTTAGAAATAAGCACTGCTATTGGCGATCGGTCAGGAGTAGCAAGTAACAATGGCAATTTGGGCATTGCCTATGGACATTTAGGAGAATGTCAGAAAGCCATTGACCATTACAAAACAGGTTTAGAAATAAGCACTGCTATTGGTGATCGGTCAGGAATAGCAATTAAAAATAGCAATTTGGGCGATGCCTATCTTAGTTTAGGAGAATATCAGAAAGCCATTGACCATTACAAAACAGGTTTAGAAATAAGCACTGCTATTCGCGATCGGTCAGGAAGAGCATTTATTCTCAGCAATTTAGGAAATGCGCATCGATGTATTAGAAAGTATGAAGTTGGAACACCACTCTTAGTGGAGTCAATTAGTTTGTACGATACAATGTTTTTAGATTCTGTTCCGGATCAAAATAAACTGTCATTCACGATACAATATTTCGTATCTCATAAACGTTTGATGAGTTGTTTCATTTCTTTGGAACGCATTGAATCCGCATTATTAGCCATTGACCTTGGTAGGGCTAAGGAGCTCCATTGCCGCGTTGAAAAACATAAGAATTCTCAGGAGCTCCATTGCCGCGTTGAAAAACATAAGAATTCTGAGGACAAGGTCAAGGAGATGTTCGATTATGCGTGTGTGATATGGAATAGAATCGGGGCCAGAGAAGAACGAAGAGAAATGGAAGAAATGAAAACATTTCTCTATCTAGAAGAAAATGATACCTCAGTATTGGTATTTGCTTTTGATTTGGAAGCGTTTCTTAATGTTTGGGTTTCAAATGATAAAGTTATCTTTCGAAAATTTGATGCAAGGTTGGAAACATTTCAGTTTCTAATTATGGAACTTCTTGGGAGGGAAAAAGTTAGTGTTGTTCGGAATTCTTCGTTTTGCAACTCCGATTCAGTTGTTGATACTCACAATCAAGTGATTTTTCCATTTGAAATGCCAAACCGAAAGGCACTCTCTAAAAATGCGTTTGAAAATAGTGCTTGCTATAGTGATTTGAGTAATCGAGAAATTTTGGAAAGGTTGTTCAAACTTTTGGTTGATCCGGTGAAAGATCTTGTTAAAGGCAATAAGCTCATTGTTGCCCCTGACCAGCAATTGTTTTTTACACCGTTTTCAGCACTAATTGATGAAAATGGCTCTTATTTATCCAACAGTTACAGCGTTCAAATTACTCCTTCATTGCATACCCTGAAGTGTACCATGGAACAATCCTGTGACTCAGACCTTGGTTTTGCGTTGTTTATTGGTAATCCAACTGTTGGAAGAGTTTGTTTAAACGGACAAGACGTTACACCCCCCGACTTGCCTAATGCTGCTGAGGAAGTTAAATGTCTGTCAAAGCTTTTCCAAGCTAGGCCTCTTTTAGGACGCGAAGCAACAAAAAAGGTAATATTGCAACATCTAAGTGCAGCTCTTCCGATCTATATCGCTGCCCATGGCGAACCAAATCGAGGTGAAATAATGCTTGCACCAAACTCTCCCCAGGCGCAACCATGTTTGGCTGTTCCCAAACCAGACTCTTCCCAGGTGCAACCATGTTTGGCTGTTCCCAAACCAGACTCTTCCCAGGTGCAACCATGTGTGGCTGTTGCCAAGGCAGACTCTTCCCAGGTGCAACCATGTTTGGCTGTTCCGAAGCCAGATTCATATCTTCTCACACAGCAAGATATTCTAAATATTTCTGTGCAAGCTCGCTTGGTAGTTCTATGCTGTTGCCATACTGGGCAAGGTGAAATTACTTCAGAAGGTGTCATAGGTATAACTCGAGCTTTTCTTGCAGCCGGAGCGCGCTGTGTTGTTGCTACACTATGGCCAATTGACGATTGTGCCACAAAAGAGTTTATGGAAAAATTCTATGGCGAACTTTGCCAAGAAACAAGAGTTTGTGAAGCTTTAAGAAAAACACAGAACCTCTTTCAGAAACACGAAATAGAAGATTACCGATCCAGTAGGATCTGGGGTCCATTTACTATCTATGGAGAAGACGTAACGTTCCGTAAGAATGAGATTGGGCAAATCAGAGAAAAATCTCGTGAGATGTTTTCTGGTTTCGTAGTGCTTTAATATCTTTAAAATGACGTCTTCCTTTTTAGTTGTATTTCAAGCAAAATCTAAAATAGTATTACCATGTAGTGGAATGGACTACTAACTGAGAATGCTCTCCTGTTTAAAGCCTTTTTCTGCCCCTTAAATTGCTTCGAGCGTTTAAAAGGTTAGACAATGTATGGAATTATATTTTGAAATTATAATCGACTTTCTTCAAGATAACGTTTGGTTTGATTAGAGTGGCTTGCCGGTTGTTGATGATCTTGATGTGTGGAAACGTTCTTATCGCAATCATTCCACGTTTCTGTAATTGTTACTTTGGTAAAAAATATTATTTAAAAAGAATATTAATTCTCAACTTCGTTGTGTGCTTGATGTCGGTTAAAATAAGATTTGGGGAAAACAACACCGTGAAATTGCCAAAGTTGTTGGTTGTCGGGAAAACAGTAAAAAGTGTATAGTTAGCTGTAGATTTTTAGAGTTGTGTTCCCGTTTGTGAAGGAGGAGTGTCATGATACTAAAGTTGTCAAGTTGCTGAACTGGGAAATGGTTGGTGAAATTGTTATAACTAAGAATGTGATGGTGTTCAGAATCATGTGTGCATTGCCAAGCGCAAAATCTGATTATGCGATAGACAGCTTAATTATCTAGTTGCTGTAGTGTTTACATTAGAAAAGTAGGAGAGGAAATATAGTTTAGCTTTGAGTCTGTTCTTTGTTCGTTGTTGAGAAAAAAGTAACTGTAATAGCAGTGTATATCAGGTGCGGATCTAGGATTTTTCAAACATAAGTCGAACGCCGAAGGCGTGAGGCATGCTAGGGAGGTCTGGGGGCATGCCCCCCCGGAAAATTTTGAAATCTAGAGGCTCTGAAATGCGATTTCAAGCGTTTTGGCGGTGAGATTTTACAGAATTCCAAAGATTATAAAGTACATCAAGCACATGCTTTTTTTATGATCTCACAAACGTGCCTTCTCCCAGTCCTCGGAATTAGATTTACTAACGGAGGGTCATATTACAAAACACATCATGTAGTTTCAACTTTCAATAGCCTTTGAGTTTGGCTCATGAAATCCTTCGCAAATTGAAGTGATATGATACCAATGACCGATCCAATATAACTCCTGTTTGTGAATCAAAATTCTCAAGCAAAATAAAGAGTAATATTTCAATTATACTTTGTAAAATGCATTTTTTATTCAATGAATTACAATATGCTATAAATATCACTTGTATATTATAACGATATTCATCGCAAATCTTTCATGCAATGCAAATCATCCAAATTATATTGTTTTAACACTCCAATGGCAATGCTCTATTCTGGCCCTTTTTATAATGGGCAATGCATTTATAAATTATAAATACAGCAGGAAAGCTATAAGGCCCGAAAGCGCATTATAAGTTGCAAGTCGATTGCGTGTAAAAATCAGTATTAAAGCGTGTTATATTTCAACTTCGCATTTATCATACAAGATACATTGCAATATAGTCATTTGATTTCTGTTTCATAATTTTGGATATTTTCATACATTATAGCAGTGTACACTTTCCTTTGGCTTTACCACCCAAATTACGACCATGATCTTTGTGAAGCACGTAGCAGAGAAGTCCCAACTTAGTGCCTTCTCGTTGTTGAACAGAACAACATTATAAAAGCTGCTCGCTTGATATCTTAGCTGCCCCACAATAATCCTCATTCAGAGACAATTCAAGTTTATTAAAGGCCGTTAAATCGTCTCGTAAAATCGGCCGCGCACATATAAATACTCGACATCGTAAAATAATTCTCCCAACTATGAAAAAACCTTCATATACGGGAATATGAAAGACTGCTTTGCATGAATTTCGCAATTTTCAAGGACTGATATCCCCTGCCGCGAATAAGTCCGAATCAGTCCAAAAAAATGAACCAATAGGAATTGTCAATAATTTCAAATTGACCAATCAAAATGAAAGAAATGGACTGATAAGAACTCCCTTAAAGTGCAAATCAGTCGGACCACCCCATAAAAACTCCCTTAAGTTGCAAATCAATCCGACCACCCCACAATATTTTCAAATTGACCAATCAAAGGAACGAAATGGACTGATGAAGACTCCCTTAAAGTGCAAATCAGTCCGGCCACCCCACAGATCAGTCGAGATAAGTCCAAATGACCTCTCGACCAATCAAATGAACATAACGACCACCCGATTCTGCGAGATTCTTGCGTTTTACCGCTGCTCTAGATAAAGCATATATTTATTCAAAACTGAGCTCGTAAAGACGTATACTGGACTATGATATGAATTTCATATTTATATTCGGGAATTAATTATTCAAATTTCGAAAATAAATTTTTGCAAAAAATACGTCAGTCACGCGACTGATTGGACTTACCCTAGATCCGCCCCTGGTGTATATCCAAATATAAGGTAATCCAAATTTGACATGTTATTGCACATAAGGTATGTATTAAGATTATACAGAATCTGATTTACTTTATTCAAGCTTGAATATCGGTGTTTTGGCTGTGATGTGAAACCTTTTTGTTTCGTTGCGTTAAAAAATTGCCAAATGCGATGAGATCAGACGAAATCTCATTTTCCACCATTGTAAATTTTGAACA